GCAAAAACTACAAAATGCCATGTCTTCACTAGGATTTTACATCCAGTCAGGGCCGGCTTTAGGCCGATTCCCCCGAATCAGGCCCCGCGCCTAAGAGGGCCCCGTGCTCCGGGTCTTCGGTGGCACTTCGGTGGCGGGTCCTTCACTTGCTCCGGGTCTTCGGCGGCATTTCTGCGGCGGGCCCCGTCAAAACTATTCGAATTGGGCCCTGCACTTCCTAAGGCCGGCCCTGCCTCCAGTTAGCAAACTCCAGTTAAGGATACACCCTTTTTTCTTAGTGAAATGAAAGTCTTATAGTCTTCTAGTGAAGAGAGGAGATGATCAAACCTGGATTTCTAATGGAAGAAAACAGGAGAAATTAAAACAAGAACAAACAAAAAAGTTCCTAAACTTTGTAGGCTGCTTTTTTACATCATAAAGAAGGGGGCGGGAAGGGGGAAACAAACACATTCTTCCTTTTCAGCTCTCCACAGTCTATAGCTACCTTGCTTTCAGGAAAACAAAAATTCAACCCTATTCCTGGAATATGAGTGTGAAATTGACAGTGATTTCAGACTTGGGGACCCACAGTCAGACACTCAATACATCCTTTTTCACATGCTAATTCTCTGCTCTTATTAAAGATTTTAAATAAACACCAGCTTCCTCTTATATTTAGGAACTGAACTTAAAAGCGTTCATGATGTAAACAGAGGCAAGGAAGTGGAAAAAGAGAAGAGAAATTCACAATACCTCTCTTTTGAAATAGGTAGAAAATCTACCGATGGGAAAGCCCAATTATTTGACATCCAGTCAAGTTCCCTGCCCATGCAGACTTATTCTCAACTTGCCTCAAAGGAAAAGGCATGAACATCGTTAGGAAGCAATCTCCTCAGATTTACAGCAGGCCAAAATGGTAGAAAGCAATATAGACTGCAGTGGGAGATGCAACTAACAATATATTATCTTTCTTTTAGCCGGTTTAGAATATTTTGCTAACTACATAAGTGCAAAAATTTCTTTTTCATATTATAGTCTTGAGGCTGCATCCCTAGGCCATCACATCAGCACAAGTAAGCTGAGGTGGCACCTGTAGGGACAGCACCTACTATAACTGAACTACTTATGTTGCCCCTCCATCTCTCCAGAAATCACTCCGCGTCCATTGCACCTCCATGGGGCTAAAGCCAATAGGATAAATCAAAGGATGGAAGAGACCATACCTGGGACTGAGTCTGAAGGCTCACAAATGTCTGTGCCTCTTTGGGGAGAGTCCCACCACAGGGTATTCTGGCCACCTGCTCATGGCACTGAGTCCCTCTGCCTTGGCACAGGTGCCTCTGCAACAGGCTGCTCCCACTTACTGCGCACTCATACAAGTTGGCCCCAAGCAGGGCCACGGCGATCCAGGTGAGTGGGGCCACAGCAGCACTCACCGTCACCAGCCACAGCACACTAACGTAGCGCCAGAAGCGCCTCCTGTGGATGTAGCAGCAACACCTGCCTGGGGCGCAGCAGGCAGTGAACAGCCGCCAGGCCCTGACGTTCAGCAGGTAGCCAAGAAGGAAGAGGATCAGGGCAGGCACCAACAGGAAGACAGAGCCATAGAGCATGTTCCAGGAGTTGCAGGGGCATTGGAACGCCACGGCTGAGAAGAGACGCTCGCTGCCCGCGGTCAGCAGGGACACAGCGCTGTAACCGAGCACCTTCTGGTGACTGAGGCAGAAATCCAACACGGTGCGAAACTTCTCCATCTCCTGCCCTGGCTGCTGCACTCTGCCTGATGCCCTTGCCTTTGATGGGGATGAAACCTCACTTGGTTATGTGTACAAAAGGAAGAGGATGTGAGGTCTCTAGTTACCACAACTCTCACAAACAAACAGAAAGGTTTCACTTTCTCCTGGTGTAGCAAAGGTGGTGCAGTGTAGGAGAAAACATCTGAAAATACCCACTGAGCATTTTCTCTGTATTTTTGAAATTACAGGAAACAGCAGGTAGATAGCACATGAAACCCACAGTGCTATTGTTATTTTTCCCAAACCGCCATCATTGCTTCTTTAAAGCTTACATATACTTTCCCCAAAATGCCTGAGTCTCACAATGGCTGATCAATTTGGTTGTGACTGATAAGTAGATAAGGCTGCAATTTCGCCTCCCAAAATTGGATGTTTTTAGGAAGGTTTTTGTCAAAAATTCAAATTTCAAGGAAAAAGGGAATAAAATAGAAACAAAAACATCATGAAATATTTTTTGTATTTTTTGACCAACTCCAGTTATAGAATACTTTGATCTGGCCTCTAGTTAGATGGAGCCAAACTGTATCATAACTAGGCTCACTATATGCTTTAGATCATGCAGAGATCTAAATTGAGGTGTTGCCCCTTTTGGCCTGGAATGTCTGGCCGGCCAGTCAAAATTCAGGGTGAGGTGACGTCTCTAGTTCGTACATCCCTCACAAACAAACAGAAAGGTTTCACTTTCTCCTGGTGTAACGAAGGTCCAACACAGTGCGAATCTTCTCCATCTCCTGCCCCTGCTGCTGCACTCTGCCTGGCGCCCTTGCCTTTGAGGGGGATGAAACCTCACCTGGTACTATTCCAGTTGAGAGGAGAAATTGGGGATAGCCAAGTATTTCTTTGATGCAATTTTGTATATTTGCAAAGGATGTACACAGTCCTGTGTCTCTGAATGCAGAAGGAATCAACAACAAAAGGAGCAATTTTTTAGCTTACAGCTCCAAGCCTCCTTAGCAAACACCAGACCCAAAAGGTCTCTCTCCAGCTTTTCCAGGGTTATACCTTTATTCTCACAGGACACTGCTCAGCTTTCTTGCTTTCTTGCCTCTGCATCACTCTTTGTTGTGTCTGTGTGTGTGTGTATGTGTGTGTTCTGCTTTTTTACCCATCCACACCCACCTGTCTCACACACAATGCTCAGGAAAACCCCTCCACCCACTCAGCCCAAACTCCTGGGTGCGTCCACAACCTTCTTTTGTCTTAGGTCCTAGTTAACTCATCTGACAGTTGTGTTAAATGAAGGGTGTGTTTACACTCAGACTCAAAACAGTTTGTGATCGATGCAGTCACCAGTAACTCTCAGCATAACAGAGGCCTACACTAAATATATAACTGGGTTGGGGGACCCAGTTACAACATGGTTATCCTCTGATATGATTGAAGTTCAGTTGGCTTGCAGTGGAGGCTGGATCTCTACTATGTCTCAGAAGTGTGCCAAAGCTTTACCAACCTCGGTTTGGACATATGAGTCCACAGATCCTTATATGTATTGTAGATGGCCCTAAAATAAGTTTTTTTATTAAACAAACAAAAATAAACAAAAATGGATAGAATTTAGATCTTGATTTACCAATCACCTATTAATAGGGCTGCCAACTTTCTACTTGCACAAAACTGAACACCCTTGCCCCGCCCCCAGCCCCACCCCTCCTCCAAGGCACTGTCCATGCCCTGCCCCTTATCTGAGACCCTGGCCCCTGCTCACTCCCTCCCCTCTTCCTCTGTTGCTTGCTCTCCCCACCCTCACTCACTCGCTCATTTTCACCAGGCTGGCTCAGAGGGCTCGGGTGTGGGAGGGGGTGAAGGCTCTGTCTGGGGGCTGCGAGTTTCAGGGTGGGGCCAGAAATGAGGGGTTCAGGGTACAAGAGGGAGCTCTAGGCTGGGGCAGAGGGTTGAGGAGTGTTTGGGGGGGTAAGAGCTCTGGCTGGGGGTGCAGATTCTGGGGTGGGGGTGGGGATGAGGGGCTTGGGGTGTAAGAGGGTGCTCTGGGCTGTGATCGAGGGATTTGGGCTGGGGCAGGGAGTTGGGGCCTGGTAGGGGCCAGAGGTGCAGGCTCTGGGTGGTGCTTACCTCAAGCAGCTCCTGGAAGCAGCCGGCATGTCCCCACTCTGGTTCCTATACGGAGGCATGGCCAGGCGGCTCTGCGTGCTGCCCTGTCCACAGGCATTATCCTTGTAGCTCCCACTAGCCATGGTTCCCGGCCAATGGGAGCTGCGGGGGCGATGCTTGGGGTGGGAACAGCATGCGGAGCCCCCTGGCTGCCCTTACCCATAGGAACCAGAGTGGGTACATGCTAGCTGCTTCCCGGGAGCCACGCAGCGCAGAAGCTAGCAGGGACCCTCCTTTAGCCCCACTGTGCGGCGCCACCAACCGGACAGTCAACAGCCTGGTCAACAATGATGACCGGAGCTGCCAGGATCCCTTTTCGACCGGGTGTTCCTGGTCACCCTACTTAGTAACAAGTTTGATGTCTTCTACTAGGACTAGTTGTGATTGCCTTATTACTACTCACAGTAGTGAGCTTTGTGCACAGCCGTAATATTTTTATAAAATTGGACCTGCAGTTTGGCCCAGGGCTGCTCTTAGCATGTTATAATCTGGTTTCATAACAACCAAGTTTAACAACTGCTTAATAGTGTGGTTACTGTACCACAAGTGCTCTGAATTCTGCATAGCCTGCTGGGTTTGTCGCAAATTTCCGCTTCTCTGCTCAGACTGCGTCAGAGAGTTTCTGTATTTTGTTCTCTGCCCTCTGTTCTTGTCTCCTCGTCCCCTCCTATTAAAAGGGGAGACAGGGGCCTCTGATGGAGGAAGCTGAGCAACCCTTGTTTTGGGGAGGGTGAAGAGGGGAGGTATTGGTTGGAGCAATAAATGGAATAAGCCCTCAACTACTTTTACTGCTCAGTTACCATTGTAGCCTCCAGGTGGCTCAGGCAGCTGAGCAGAGCAGACACAGCCGATGTGCCAGAGCTGCAATCAGCCAATGCAGCAAAAAGTCTGACCCTAGGATTGCTCAAGCCTGTGCTTTCCTGTGAAGCTCCAGCTACTGTGGGAGACCCATCTCCCAACTCCCCTGCACCACAAAAGGACAAGGGGGAAGCAGGTCAAGTGTGGTGGGATGAAGGAAGAAGAGATTTCCAGAGTGGAGGAATAAGGGAGAAATCTGGGGGGGATTCTTAGATTTTGAGGAGAGGATGGTTCCTTTGAAAACATGTTCCTAGGCTCTCACCCCCACAGAAGCAGTGTTTCCATTTTCCTAGATCATGTCTCAGCCTCTTGACATCCTAAGCATCAAAGGAGCTTTAGAGACAGGAGATCTAATAGCCCCCTGGCTGCATAATCCTTGTTTTGGATCTTTGCTGCACACTTAGGAGATCCTTGTTACACATTTGGTATTTAGGAAGGAGACACGTTATGTGGGTTGTTTGTGTAGTGGGACGTAACTCTGACTTCCCAGGAAGATACACTTTTGAAACTTAGCATAACATTTTACTATCAAAATTCCTGGCCATGCCACTCAGCCTCCCGAGACCCTCATTATACAACATATGAAAGAACCGAGACCTAGCAGTCACTATGATCATGCCTATCACAACCATTTGCCCATAATTTTAAGATCAAATGTAGCACCATCTCACATGAATTTGAAGCTCTTTATGTCAGCAATGTGACTCCATGCCATTCAGATCCTAAATGCTGGTATTTATGCTGACATTACTCTCACAAGCCATTTAAAACTTCCCACCCTGTTATTTTTCTTGGGCTGCTGGGTGAAGTGGTCTCACACCTTACGAATGGGGCTGAGGTATTGGTGAGATGATGTACAGCAATTTGGATCATCACTGCTCATGCTGCACTTTTCCTGTGACTAATAAATGTAGGGTTTCAGTCTGCAAGTCTGTTTCAAAAGAAAAAAAGAGCATAAAATAAAAAAATATAAAATAGTAATGCTAGGACAACAGAAGACCTCTCTTCATTTAGTTCTCTGAAGGTTAGGCCTTCTTTTCTTTGTGGAGCAAGTGGGGGTGCCACCTACAGTCTAAATTCATGCTTTGCAGATTAATTACCTCATTTAAAGTTTATTCCTTTGTTTTAACGAAGGTGCCAGAACATTGATTTCTGGTTCAATTATTTTTGGTTCAGTTTGGTTCTTTGGAAATTCTTTAAAACATGAGTCAGAACATCTATGTGCTTCTGCTCTGGTTCACGTGACTATTAATGTTCTTAGAGAATTGCGCTGTATGAAAGACTGCAAATACACACTAATAGCTTATGCGGAGCAAGGCCTGCTGATAGCATGTTGTTTTACAATTGCCTCCCTAGACGTTTAGTATATCAAAGGTTATTTCCCAACCAATGCTAAATAAACAGTATGATGAACCAAATATCTGGATTAATAGTACACTGCTAGACAGAGTGACAAAATTTACCTACCTTAGAAGTGCCCTTTTTATTGACACTTGAATATCCTCATCAATAAAATCATGTATCCAAAAACTAGCTCTGTATTTGCATGAATGGAACATGGACGGCAACAAGATATCAACCTCTGTACAAGGATCAAAATGTATTATGCTGAGACATAAACTCACTACCAACATCATGTCATAGTGCTAGGTAACTTCCACGAGCCTGTTCCAAATTTCAGGCTTTTCAAATCCATGTTCCATGTAAGAAGCCAAAATAACCAACAAAGCTCTTGGCACTACTGCAATACATGAATAATCTTCTGCCCTTTAGCAGCAAAGAGACCTCTTTGGTGATGGTACTGAGCTCATAGAGACTCCTTACCACATGCAGTTTCAGAAGGCTCCATTTTCTTCCCCATCACCTTTAACAGGTTGTCTTTGAGGGTGAGACCATGACAGTGTGATGGCACAGATTCAGGTGCCATCAATATGTATGAATGGTAGCCAACTATATAACTCTTTCTTCACCGACAGCCTCTGCCATCACAATACCCAAGATGTCTGTGTGCCTGGAAGAAATCAGATTAACGAAAAACAAAGGGAAGCTGGTAGAAATTGCTGATAATGCTAATTTACCAAGTATCAGAGGGGTAGCCGTGTTAGTCTGAATCTGTAAAAAGCAACAGAGGGTCCTGTGGCACCTTTGAGACTAACAGAAGTACTGGGAGCATAAGCTTTCGTGGGTAAGAACCTCACTTCTTCAGATGCAAGTAATGGAAATCTCCAGAGGCAGGTATATATCAGTGTGGAGATAACGAGGTTAGTTCAATCAGGGAGGGTGAGGTGCTCTGCTAGCAGTTGAGGTGTGAACATCAAGGGAGGAGAAACTG